GAAACATTGGCAGAATTGTAGAAATTAACTCATATAACATTTATATACTCCTTCTGTTCTTGAAATATTTCATTTTCATTCAAGATGACATTCCGGCCAGAAACTTATCCTAATTCAACGATCATAGCTTACAGCTTATGTTTAACTATCATAAAGCGCAATCAATTCACATCGGTCTAGTTCATCGCTTGCTTTTCAAAACTATTGATTATTGTAGTGTAGCTAATTATACTGTTAAAAGATTCTTTATGGTACAGAGAAAAACTTCAAGATGACGTCATTAGATCGTAATCAGAACTACTAGAATAGCTTTATTTCTTTTTCAAACTATTTTTGATCATCACCTCCATAAACACAAATTCTGTGTAGCTTCTTATTATTTCTTATTTATTGTCTAAGATCTTGGACAATGCGCTGTAAATTTATATACAATATCAATAAAATTCTTTTTAAAACACGTCAGTGCCAATTTTATTTCATCGAATAATTCTCTCTATTTTTTTTTGTTATTTTTGCAATATTTGCAAGTATTGATTCTTTAGTTTGAATAGGGACATTTCATGACCCACAGAGATTTCATTTACTAGGATATTTTCAAAGTAGAATTCGACAAATAAGCCTCAAAACAAACAGTTCGATTCAAAAAGGTTTGCTTTCGGGCGATGGCTTTAGTTAGATGTTTTGTTCTTTAATTTAATTTATTAGGAAGCTTGATATTTCTTAGAAATAAGAAGGAGTAATACAATTGAACTGGAAATCTCAGCTAATACTAATGTTACTACTATCTATAACATACAAAAAATATTAAGTGAAATCTGAGATGTCGAATCATCATCCATATCTGATTTTCTCACAGAGCTATTCTTAATAAATATTCCTCTACATGCTAAAAATTCCATTATGACTCTCAGAACAATTTTTGATATTGTTGCTTAGAACTATCATGTATAAGTTGTTATGATTGAGGATGTATCGAGCCCGAGTCCTGACTGAGCCTCTCGGGTTCGAGCTCGAGGTTCGGTCATGCTCGATAGGCTAGGGACTCGGCCAGGCTCGGTGCATCCCTAATAAGTTATGATAAACAATCAAGTTCTACTTCGGTCATTTAAAATAATCTATCGTATATTAATTTCAAAATAAATGACTATCTTATTTTAACTACCTGTTGTTACTTCCATTTCTTCTGTTGTTGATACTTTTTCGCTGTTTGTCTTTTTTGTTTTGACGATAACAATTGAAATTGTTATGATTATAGCAAGTACAATAATAGTAAATGTGATACACATCACTTTTCTTCTTTTCAGAAAGTCACATCTAGAATAATAAATCTTTTTTATTATTGTCTATAATTCATAACATACATACAGCTTTTTTGATTGCGTTGCATTCGAAGTAGTTGTTTCAGACTAAAATAATAAAAAAAACAACAAATATTATATTTTATGCTTTTTCTTTTTCTCAATAAATTACATCATTATCAACTCCGATTCTGTTGTTGTTGATCATTGTTGATAGTTTAATACTTTTATAATCTAAAATCAACAAAAAAAATTTTCAGTCATGAATAATATAATTACAAAGAAGCTAAACTGTTTATCTGAATATCTTTTCACAAAAAAATCATTTGTGTTTCTCGTTAATTGTTTGAATCTATATTTCAAGTAATATCTAATACTCCTTACCGACTAATCTTAGAATTTTTTCATTCCAATTTCAACTAGAAAATAGAAAAAATATTTATCGTGCTCTCTCTTTCTCTTTCTCAAATAATCAGTTCTTTTTTTTGACGTAGATCATCGTGTTAATGTAAAACAGCATATATCTATAAAAACAATCAGCTCACTTCCTTTTTCAGTGTTGATTTTCAAAAACGAACTCTTATCAGATAGAGTTGTTATCTCTTATTAATATAAAACTGTTTGAGACAACATTTAGTGTAATTATTAGTTAATAAAACATTAAAAATCAACGCTTTTGAAAGGATATGCAACATTTCCTCACAGAGAAAAAGATAATCTACTATACACAAAGATTCTTCTAAATTAATTGAGAATTAGGCAATATTTATGGTTAGAAATGGACTTTAATTTGATTTTAACGTATGCAATAATTATTTCCAGAATAGATAAATGATTTAACTGGAAGTCGAAATAGGATATTCAAGAAAACAAAAATAATTAATACTTAATCTTCACTTAGTTATCGTCTATTAGATATGACTAGTCAATAGAGAATACTTTAATCATGCTTTTAATTACAATCATAGTCCTATAAAATATGTACACTCTTTGAATAATTACATTTAGATGTAACTATCGGGGTGATTGTGGATATTATATTTTTGCTTGTTTTTTAATTTCTGATTGAACATTTATGTAGAGAAAGTGAACACAAAGAAAACAGCAGTTATATCAATCATCAAGTCTTGTACAATACCATGAAATCCGTTCTTTTTTTTGTTGTTGAAATGAATATGAGAATGATAATTTGACAGATGAGTGTATTACTCTTATTCTGATGTTAATTCATCCTCACTCTCATCAATATATTTTATACTCATCTCAATCTATTACTGAATTAATATTTTATCGACAATAATTTGACAAATAAAAATATAGTTACAGCTTAACTCTATAGACTTTTATCTGAATGAAAAATAATAAAATACATTCTTTTCTCTCAGGAAACTTTGCATTTCCTTCACATAGTACTGCTTTTCAATTTGTTTTTTCTATAGAAAATAACTATTGTTTCAACTAGTTTAGTTTCATATGCTACTTCGTAGATTTCGACATTTACAAACAGATTATATTTTATTCAAATTGACCCGAAAAAAGAAAGTGATGTTGTTGTTTTCATCGACCTATGATGTTTTACATAAAAACGCTTGTATACAGTAAGTATCAGAACCATTCACTCATTATTATTTTTATTTTAAATCAAACAAATATTATTAAAAATAAAGCGAAAAATATCATTTGAGAATCCACTTTTTGATATTTAATAATTTAAGTAATGTCGAACATATAATGGATAATTCTATTGAATTTAATTACAAAACTATGAAACAAATAAAAATGAGAAGAGTTTCATTTAATTTCTAATGATTAATTTTGAATAAAAACAAATTGTTTCTTTTTTGTTACGTTCTCCAATAATTAACTTGAATGATAGAAAAAACTCTTCGATATATTACTGAAAACTGAACAAGAAGTTCTTTTCTGTATTCGCCTACGTAATGACGTCAATGGGAATTTGCTTTTTTTTTGAAATATTTGCAACAAACACAATATGTGAAATTATTAATAGATAAAAACAATGAATCTATTTCCTTTTTCAAAACTGATATGAAATGTCAGACATTATTTGTTGTAAATAGAAAAAATGTTCATGATATTGAAATGTTTGTAGGAAGATGTGAAAACAAAATTTAATGTTATTCTTGTTAAGGATACATCGAAAATCATGCCTTAACGAAGGAAATACAATGCTTCCTCAACAACAAAACATTTTTATTATTTTGCATTTAGTTGAAAGATATTATATGCTGCCAGAAATGTGTTATATAATTGATTTTATTTTTATTTCACACATTAGATAAATGATAAGAAAAGTGTAGTTGTTGATCTTCAGAATAAATCTTCATCAAATATTATTCAACAATATGAATATCATCAAATCTATGAGAAACGAATACATAAACAAAAGAATTAGTAATGTCATATTCACATTTAACAAAATCAACTAAACTTATTATTTTATTATCCTTTGAAATTGTTCATCATGATGAATAATTATGATCATATTAACAGAGTTATAAGTAAATGTAGTATATCAATCATTTCTTTTAAGTTCTATATTGACATACAATAGAGAACGAAGAAGAAAACATTATACTAAGACTGATATTGTGAAATGTTGAATACTTTTTTAAAAACAACGGCATTTTCTACCGTTTGGTAAGAATTTAATTGATAAAATTCAAATATTATATTATGATGAAGAATTAAACTATTGAAGAAGAGTTGATTTGTTTTATCAAATAATAATCTAAGAAAATTCTGTAAAGTTTAAAAATAAATTGAATGTTATACAAATTTATTCTTTCTCTTAATTATCCGAGGGTGTGGGCGTGGGAGTTCTTATTAGATCAACAAGAGACACTCAAATTCAAACCCATGTCAATGAAAAAGCGAATATCTTGTTACAAAAAAACTTCATTGATTTGAAAGTTATCAATAATTGGGGTTTTATTCGATGAAAAAGAAGAAAATTGAATTTAAATCATTTTTCGTAGACACTTTTTATTCAAAATCAAAAATAAAGAAAATGTTGAATTTTTTCATTTGAAATTGAAATGAATTCAATTTGATAAAGAAATTATGAAATGTTTATTTGAATTTCTTTGAAAAATAAAACAAATCTCTTTTATATCAAAAATCAAATTTTAATTTTGGATCGTTTTATAATTTTTAGTATCAATGTTTTATTTTATTTCAATCTCTTGCTCATTTTTCTTCAGTAATTTTTGTTTTTGCTTTTCTTCTAAATGAAAATGTTTATTGATTTATTTTAAAATTTGAAATCAAATTTCTTTTTATTGATTTCATCTTACCAAATCAATTTTCAAGTCAGTTTTTTATTACCAAATTTTTGTAAAACATTTCTTTTCTCTTCAACTTCAGACAATTTGATTATTTTCATCAAATAAAAACATTCAAATAGAATTTTCTAAAATACAAAAACTTCTTATCAAAGGATTTTTATTGCAATTCAATTCAAATTACAAAAAGATTTTATTTGTTTGACTTTTTTAATGAAAGTTACCAATTCAATTTATGGTTGATAGAAAAAAGTAAAAAGATTTTTCTTCGTTATTTTCTTATCAAAAACTTATTCGATATTTTTCATTGATTTTCAATAATAAAACTTTATTTTTCCTTTTATTTAGTAATTATTTATTCTATGAAAAGTTTTTTTCAAAATTGAAATTTTATTCACTAAATTATTTCAAATTTTTGAATTCGATTATTTCCCGCATCAGCAACGTAAAGATTTCCTTCATCATCAAAGAATAAATCAAAAGGATGATGTAATTGATTTGGTTGATTTCCTTCACCATTTCCACCAACAACAATTTCACCTTCTTCTTTTCCTTCACACC